AAATGCAGTGAGCTAGCAAAAGACAAAGCGACAAAAAAATTCAACCTTCAACAACAACCAGTCTAACACTGATGCCAACAGAGTCAAATATAATGATACATTCAACTTTCAAACGGAAAGAAGAAAAAGCTAAACACAAAGACTGCTCAGCACAAAATATTATTCTAAAATGCACAGTATGGCTGCAACAACTACTGAATTTGGTGAAAAGTTTTTTAAGACATATCTTTATTTAGCAAGGACACTAAAATGATCAAAGGTAACAAAGAATTTTATATTGTTTATATTACTCATCAATACTGAAAATTCAGTTTTTACAAAAATATTAAGCAACATAATTTCAACATTGAAAATAATAAGATTTTTTCCCCATATTATACTGATTTCTGAAGATCATGTGACACTGAAGACTGGAGTAATGATGCTGAAAATTCAGCTTTGAATCACAGGAATAAATTGCATTTTGTTTTAAATTGTAAATATTATTCCACAATATTTTTTTTTAAACCTTACCGACCTCAAACTTTTTAATAGCAGTGAACATTTTACTGTTATATTCTTAAAATGGAGTGCAATAATATTAATCAAACGATATTTGTGGTTAACAAATTAATAAATATTTAGGTGAAGCTGTGCGCTTGAATTTTTCATCGCATCATCCTATGCAGTGTGGTGAATTATTGTCTATAGGCTGTTTTAGTCATTCATAGTATGGGTTATCTTAATATATTGATTAATGGCATTGTATTATAATATTAAACCACCTGAATATTTAGGCTACTACCTTCTAATTTGCATGGTCAGTGCAGACTTTTTTTTTTTTTTAGCTTAGGCTACTGACCATTATGGATTAGTTTAGCCTGCATTAAAAAGTCTTGAACATAAAACAACAGGATAAAAATATAGATGATGACTAGACATAATCATTTCATGACTCTAGACACTTCTTTGTGAAGACAGAAGCATAATACAGTGAAATAATATGTACTTTAGCCATATAAATACAGTTGCCATGTGCGTGGGTAAAATTTAGCCCGCTGGCGCTTTTAGCTATACAACGACCTCTGGCGGTTCTACTGTTAAATTTAAGTTAAAACACCTTAATGGTTTTCAATTTTCACTTTTCACTTCACAGGACTTTAACTGGTGGACTGGAGTGGTGTGGATTACTTGTGGATTATTGTAATGTTTTTATCAGCTGTTTGGACTCTCATTCTGACGGCACCCATTCACTGCAGAGCATCCAGTGGTGAGCAAGTGATGAAAAGTAAAATTTCTCCAAATCTGATGAAAAAACTAACTCCTCTACATCTTCATATCTACTCTAAAACTAAAATAAAGAAAAATAAAATAACCGAAGACTAAAACCAGAAAACACACAAAAAAAGCTAGCAGCTTACTGTAAACATATCACCAACCCTATGGTTGTTCCCCAGGCGAATCTTTATTTATTTGGGATTGAATAGTGTTCACACTGGAGGTTCACACTGACATCAATTCATAGCATCAAAAACAACTGACCATAAGTTTTCTTTCTATTAGAGTCAGTGACTTCCAAAGAGAGCAGAGCTCAACAGAATATGGAGTGGACAGCACTGGTGAATAAAGACCAACTAATTCCACTCAGTCCTAAGATGAAACTTGAGCACATTTGCTGAAGTTTCAAAGAGTTAACCATCTGTCTGGATGATGTTTTTATGATAATGGCCTTGTAAGATGACTGATATCAAGCAAGAAATTAAGTGTGTGTGTGTGTGTGTGTGTGTGTGTGTGTGTGTGTGTGTGTGTGTGTGTGCGTGCGTGCGTGCGTGCGTGCGTGCGTGCGTGCGTGCGTGTGCGTGTGCATGTGTGCATGTGTGCGTGCGTGCGTGCGTGCGTGCGTGCGTGCGTGCGTGCGTGCGTGCGTGCGTGCGTGCGTGCGTGCGTGCGTGCGTGCGTGCGTGCGTGCGTGCGTGTGCGTGTGCATGTGCGTGTAGAAGAGAGGTAAAGCTCACACATTCATCTACAAACAGTGTCCACATACAAACACAGATTCACACACTTGTGGGCACGCATTCGTGCACAGGATGGAAGGGGAAGGTCATACAAATAACTACCCAAACCGATTCGGTAAAAGCTCCTAGTAAGCAAACACACAAATGCAGTGAGCTAGCAAAAGACAAAGCGACAAAAAAATTCAACCTTCAACAACAACCAGTCTAACACTGATGCCAACAGAGTCAAATATAATGATACATTCAACTTTCAAACGGAAAGAAGAAAAAGCTAAACACAAAGACTGCTCAGCACAAAATATTATTCTAAAATGCACAGTATGGCTGCAACAACTACTGAATTTGGTGAAAAGTTTTTTAAGACATATCTTTATTTAGCAAGGACACTAAAATGATCAAAGGTAACAAAGAATTTTATATTGTTTATATTACTCATCAATACTGAAAATTCAGTTTTTACAAAAATATTAAGCAACATAATTTCAACATTGAAAATAATAAGATTTTTTCCCCATATTATACTGATTTCTGAAGATCATGTGACACTGAAGACTGG